GGGGGGACTGCCTTCTGTACAGAGGAAGCAGGACGACCCTGATGTTAATTTCGATCCCCGCAAGATCACGATGTGTGTGTGAAAGTCCTTTATTCCATGTTCTCCTTCCTCTCCTAGAGGCTGCAAGCAGTGTGGCTATGAATGACCTGGGCATCAAGGGGACTTGCCAGGCTCACCCCAGACTGGGGGGGCATGACATTTCTCAGAAACATCCCTCTCCTCCCACAGCTGGACCGAGGCTGCAGCAGCATCAGCAGCAGAAGGAGCTGAGGCAGCTCCCTGGGCACCCTGGCACTCCCCACGTTTTGGGCACACGCTGCAGGTGCTTCCCCTGCTTCTCCAAGCCGGTTCCGGCCAGGGTGGGAATGGCTAGAGCAGTGGCAAGGGCAGCTGGACTCTAGCAGGAGCTCGTCTTGGATGCGGTCAAGGCACAGGAAGCAGCAGCAATGCGAGCCACGGTGCTCCCATTCAGATGGGGAGATAATCCGGCGGCCAGCAGTTGCCAAGCCACGTGAAGTGGATCCCTGCTGCGTTGTGGCTCCTAGAGAAGCCTCGATCCTGTGCCTGGAGGGTCGGAAAAGGTTGGTGAGTTTGGCAGAGGGGGGGGCAGTTATATGTAGGCTTTATTTTATTTTATTTTTTATTCTCATCATTGAACATGTAGGCTGTGCGCTTCAGATATGCACTTTGGGGAATTTGGAAGCCAAATAAGAAAGATGTAACTTTAAAGACAGGGATTGTGTTTTTGTCTCTGTGTGTGTGTGTGTGTGTGTGTGTGTGTGTGAGAGAGAGAGAGAGAGAGAGAGAGACCTGTAAGTATCCTACACAAGGGCAAATTTCTCTGAATGTCATTTAGCTTTCATGCTAAACAAATTATGTAGGACAGGGAATGTGATGCTCGTTCCATAGAAGGACCAGCTGAGAATAATGAAAAAGAGAAAAGGGGGCTCTCAACTCCAGACGCTTAAATGGTTCGCACCAGAAGTGATGCCCTCTTCTCGGGGGAGGCATTTCAAACTTGGTCCGTCTCTCCTTCTTCTTGGAGGAGAATGTTTTTTTCCCGGCTCCTCACCATCGCTAGATTGCCTGCTGCGCCTTCAGGGCTCAATGCGCTGATTCCGCCTGGGAGAAAGAAGGCAGGCGAGACACCCCCTTTGCACCCTCCTGGCTGACCACCCTGCAGAATGACAGTGTTTCAAGGAGGAAAGGGGTCTGCAGGTGAAGGAGGCCGCACGCCTGCCATTTCTCCCCAGCACCCCTTTCTTTCTTGATGTAGCCTGACCAGGGCAGTCTAGGGGAACTAGGGAATGCATGGGGCCCTTACATCCTGCCTTCCTCCTCATTAGTATGGGGCAGGAAGGGAAACAGAGATTTGTAGGACCTCTCCTTGGGTTCATCGACCACTTAAACCAGGGCTGCTCAACTTTTTCCAGTCCAAGCAGGAACATCTGCCAGCAGGAGGTGGAGGGCAATATAACCAAGATGGCAGGTGCAATTGCGCAGCATTGCCCCATTAGGCTGCCATCTTGACTATTTTGACCCCCCCCCCCGCAGACATCTCTTAGCCTTTGAATGGTGAGTTAGAAGACATGCTTCATAAAGCAAAACAAAAGCTGATTTGGATTTACATTTAAAAGTCTTGTTTTTATTTTTTTATTTATGATTCAAATTTGTTAGAGCCATCCAGCTCTGATGGACTCTTCTTCAGAAGCATCTTCTTGTCCTCTTTAAGACAAAATGACTTCTAACTTCTAGGGATTCTACAAACGAGCCCTGTAGCTTTCTTTGCAATAAGAATGAATTATTATTAATACATTGCTGTTATTTAGATTTCTAAGGCTGCCAATATCAGAAATATTCAAGGTATGGCAGGGGTTTCCACTGCTTTCTTCTGGGATTCTTTTTAAACTTAGCGCGTGGGATCCCCTGGTGGTCTCCCATCCAAATACAAACCAAGCCTAACCTTAGCATCAGAGCTCAGAGAAGGTTGGCTAACTGTTGCCACCTGCTAGAGATTATCTACATGTAATTGAAATGAAATATAATTAATAGGAATACTCTTCAGTCTTTTACTTAGTAATTCCCCTGCCCCAAATGTAGTTTGGTTACGCCTTTTGGAGGTCTCTGAAGGTCAACTCCCAAAGCTTTTAAGGGCTACATGCAGATCTGAGTCCTCAGGTGTGGCACCTGATTTAAAGTGTTGCACCTGTCCTTCCGTTTTGCACAGCAAAAGCCTGCATTTAGTATTGTCAACCCTAATTGTGCTGAATTCTGCACGGAAGGGCTGCCCATCTCATCCTTGGCCCTCACCGTGCGTCATTTGCAACTAAAATGCTGCAGCGTGGTGTGGCATCCAAGTTGCACAGAGGCCAGCAGGACGAAGTACAAACGTTGGCTCGGGTCGTTCAACTCGACTGCAAAATCTGCTTCTTGGCTCGGTAGTGTTTAGACAGGTGCATCAGCGCACCTGACACTTTGCCATAGAAAGGAAAAGAGAGGCAGAGAGGTCCCTACCCCAAAGAGCCCACAATCTATATTCCGCACATGGGGAAACAACGGAAGGGGAGGGGAGAGAAAGGGATGGTGGTGGGAGAAGGTGACAGCGGATCTCGCAGCTTGTCCCCATGGCCACTTAATGCAGATCGTGAAGAGGACCATAGATTACATTGCTGTCCTGATTTATTGAATCATGGATTGATTTTCATTGTGTACCAGCTGGTATCTGTGGAACACGGCAATATAAAAATATGGTAGGCCTAATTAACTAAGCGTGGGGGATATGTAATTGCATCTCCTTCTGAAATACGTTGTTCTCTCATTGTGATCACATTGCTTAGGATTAGTTGTAAGCAAGCTCTGTGTTGTGTTTTCAGTGGCAAACAGGCCTGTTCGGTCATTCGTTCCTCTCCCAAGTGGACTTTTTAGCTTACACGGTTTGTGCTAAGTACAGCTTTTGAAAGTATTATGTAAAAAATGGCATAATGACTCCTTGGTGCACAACAGACATAAGCAACAGTATTATGATATAAAAACGATCAGTTTAAAAAGAGAAATGTTAGGATTAGTTACTGAGGAAAGGTGACCTATAAAAAAATGCCATTCTTGATTGTGAGTGTCGGGCTGTTCCCAGCATCCTAGACTGGAACCGAGCAAAACCGGCACAGAAGAATCCGGCAACTTTTGGTAAGCAGCTTTATTGTAGAAGAGCTAAGAAACCTTCAAGCGATGACCACCAAATGCAAGTCCTATTTACAGTAAATACAGTGTTCAAATGTTTGCCCCAAACTTCTCCCACCCAAACTTTGCAAGGGGCTGCGTGGGTGGGAGGCTAGTTTCCATCCGTCCCTTGTTTTGGTGGTGGACAGACTGATATTAAGTTGTTTTCCCCTGGCCATAAGAATGGCCCACGGGGGTCATCTTAGATGTGTGCGTGTGGGTCTGATTCTGCACACCAGAAGGTCCCTTGCAGAACGGCATCTAACGAGCCACGGGTGGCTGCCTCCTGGCCGTTCCGCTTGCCGGGAGCAGCAGTGGGTGGGTGAGTTTGTTGATGCACCATCTTTACAGTGGCTTGCTGTGTGCTTAGATGTGTGAAAGAGCAAAACTTGGGAACCTCTTGGTAGACAGCAAGCACAAGCAGGCTAAAAGAACAGGAAATGTGGGAAGGTAAGAGGAATATTTGGGGAGGTTAGAAGAGCTCTGCAAATAAATCTACCACAGTGGATTCATCAGTGCGTGAACTTGCTAGCCGTCTTTCTCACATGTAAATATCATACCAGCAATTTATTGGTCTGGCTACTTGCAGTTTTCGTCCGTCTGCAGCCTGTTTACTTAACATGCTTGGAGTCATTTTTGCTGAACCATGTTCTTCTTCAAAGGATAGCATGCTTGTTTCCTTCCCAGATGCTCGCCTTTGCTCAGGTTCCTTGTAGTTTAGAGGAAGGTGTTGCCAAATTTCCTTACAAGACTTTGGAAAAGAACTTCTGAACTGCTCTGATTAGGATTTTTCATCAGCAGAAGTTCTGCAAAGTTTGGTGGCTTCCAGTGATACCAAACTATATTGCAAAGCATTTACTTGTGATCTAGCAAAGAACATTCTGGGAAGCTACATTAATCACCTATTATAATTTCAGGAAACTATATACTGTAGGTCCACAATATTATTTCATGGGTCCACATATTTATTTGTTTCTTAGATTGGTATCCTGCTTTTCCTTCAGGAGCTCGATGTGGCATACATAGTTCTCCTCCCTCTAATTTTTCCCTGCAATAACCACCCTGTGGGGTTGGTTGAGGTACAGGAGAGGAATTGGCCAAAAGTCACCCTTCTGTGGCTGAGGATGAACTCGAACCCAGGTCTCTCTAGTCCAGCAACTTCACATTGCCCAACACCATAATATTGTTCGTTGTAACTTAGAAAGTGGGCTTTATAGTTTAATGTAATTTGAGAATCTACTTTATCTGGCAAAGTTAAAATAAAGCAAACCTTTGTGAACTCAGCCAATGTCTACAGCCCTTTGGACTCATTCCTCTCCCTCCCCACATTATATACATTCAGCACACGGGAGGGACTGATGCTACGCCCCAGCCTCAATGAAGCCCAAATTTGAAACCAAGCTGCTTTGAGGTCCTCTCTGCAGCCAGAGAGAGCTCCCGGTTGCCTGGAGGAACTGCTCCCACACTTGCATCAGATCTACAGAGGAGATCTGACCCAGCCCTGCTTCCTTGTTTCCACTTTTCAAAAAATAAGTTTTCTAGCCTTTTCACGTGCACAAAAATAGTCACTGAGTGGGTTCCCATCCTATCCTGCTATTAGGCCGAGGGGAAATAGTCGTGCGGTAAGGCTCCTCAATCCCGTCTCTCAGTGCAGAACATTTTCTACTTTTCCTGTTTTTTTTAAGGCAAAAGCACGTGCGGTGCTGCTCATTTTAAAACCTGTGCGGGCCACAGGAGAGCGGCAGGTCTGTCTACCTGGCACGCAAGGTCCAATCAACACACCGAGTCGGGGAATCCTTTATTCTTCTTATTGAAGCGCTCCAGCAAGAAGGCTCCCGTCTCTCCAAGGAGAGGAACCTTGAGCAAAGTCTTACATCAATCTGTATACCTGTCAAAAATAGGGAAGTGGGCATGTAAAAAAAGATGACAGGTTACCTTGTTGCGCTGACGCCCTTGATTCCATGTTACATACTAACATCCCATAATAAGCTTAGCATGTTCTACTATGTTTTCTGAAATTTCTACCGGAGGGGTGTGCGTTTTACTATGCTAATTAGCTTTCGGTTACACGAGGGTCGTAGGTGGTCTCATAACAAGGTCACTCGGTGGTTTCTGAAGACCTCGAATATATTCCTCTTCCCCCTTTCAAAGTACAGCGACTTTTATCTGTAGTCAGACACCTGCTGCGCAACCCACATCGTCTAACAGTATTCTACCATGTGGCCCTCACCTGCACCCAAAAGGTGACACAAAAGTGCGTGCTGCTGTCATCTTGCAAGATCCAAAGACGTTCTTCAGCAACTTCCTGGAGTGGAATCTTCCTTGTGTCCTTTCCACTAATTAATGCGGTAGGTAGGTAGGTAGGTGGGTCCACAATTGCACTGGAATAATTTCCCATTTCACTTAGATCTAATTTGAGAATAAGGTAATTTTTTCAATCCTTTTAGCTTCGCACTTTATACCGAGAAGGCTGCAACAAGTGGTAGAAAAGGTGACGCTACACTTTGTATTTTTAGCTTTGGTGCACCGTGAACATTTCAGCTTCCTAAACTGCGTCTGGAAATGTGGATCTCCAACTTAGTGCTAACTTTGTGGGGAGTGGGAACTCTGACAGCTGCATCCAAAACTCTGAAGGACCCTGGGGATGCGCAGTTGTGAGATAACACCTCTGAGTTATATGTCAGTTAAATTCATGTTCCGGTCAAAGATTTTCAGAATGAATGTCCTTCTGCCTTGCCTGTTGCTGATCCCATACAGGCTGAGTATTATTATCATTCATTCTGAACATTCAGATTAAAAAAGGATCATCCCTCGTTTCTGGTTCCTATCACTATCCTTAGTGAGATATGGAGATGTGTTTTTAAAATAATGCCATGCAACTTACACTTACATTCGAAACTAATTAAATACATCTCATGGGCTGCCAGAAGCTAAATCTCTGAAACTAGAATCTTCTACCCATTTCTCTAGCCACAAAGCCCACTGTCTTACTTTCAAGTGCAAATGTATAGAATGTTTTGAGATAAGAAAATTAATGTGTGCATTAATCAGGATAGGAAACCTCTGGCGCTCAGAATTATACCACAACATCTGGTTGCAAATGGTCCATTTTTCCCCCTTATTCATGAGAGGAGATCTGGAGTGGCTGTAAGCACAGAAACAAAAAATATCTTATTCCCATTCAAACTCATTGCAAAACTCCCAAATTTGCGAAAACTAGCTCCTTTTCTTCCACTGTCATCACCATCTCACCAGGAAAAAAACCTGACGTGTCGGCTCTGACCTAGAAAAAGTTGCCCAGCCCAGCAACAATTAATGCCTAGTAAGGAAGATGACAATTCAAACAAAAGATTAAAATTTACATTCCAGACTGTAATAAATACATTTTTAAAGCCTTAGAAATACTGAAATGAGTTGCATACAGAGTATTAGAGAGCTGGTCCCTGACCAAGATTAAAAGTATCTAAGATAAATTAAATCAGATGAGAGCTTAGTTGGCACCACAGGCAGACTCTGCGGGTGTTGTTTTTTGAGGAACCTTATTTGTTTCCAAATAACCGAGATCACAGTTAGATCATATATTCTAATATGTTTTTAGAAAGGCATCTAACTTTCAATTATCTGAATTTCAGGATAGGAAGAAAATAGAGCAAACAACAGACAGACAATGTTTCGGAAGGAGAATGTGAGAGAAAGCTACTTGGGAATGATAGGGTTTACTCCGACAAAGTCCTTCCATCAACAAGTCCACCTTTCTCAAATGGCTTCCAAGCAAGAAGGAAACTCCTCCTACCCATTGTGGGGTCCCAAGTGGGTCCCAAGCCCACCTACTTTGGGCCAGGCCCCACCCATTTCTGCAAGGCACGTGAAGCCCTTGATTGGAAAAAGATTAACGGCTGCATAGATGATTAAAACTGCAGAGAATATAAGCAGGATACCCAGCAAACCTATTTAGGTACTTTGAGCTCTTCCTCACCCTCACATTAAAGGTCTGCTCCCCAGTCCTTGCGCCAGCAGAAAACTGGACCAATGTAAATGTGTTGCCCCCGTTGGCGATCCCTTCCTTGCCAGGGTCAGGAAGCTGGCAAATGCTGCGGTCCTTATTTACAGTGGACGTGGCATGTTCAGGATAGGGACTCCTTGCCTTGCCCTCCCTGCTCTCCCGCTCAGTGCTGCCAGCCAGCAGGAAGACCTCCAGCCACTCCTCTCCTTCACATGGGAAGAAACTGAGGATAGGGCTGGTAGGAGGCAGATTTTGGCAGAAGACTAGACTGGTGGGTTTTAGTCATCTGATGAAACTTGCTCTGGTTTTGCACAAGTGTTTAAACAAGTGTGTTCAAAGGGGCACAGGTTTAGGATAGAGGTTTGGCATATTCCAGAATAGCATTGTCTTGAATAACACTTTTCTGGAGTAGCACTAAACCTGTGTTCAAAAGGAGCCCAAGTATCAGCTGATTGGTGAGAGGTCACCTCCCAGAGATACCCACCAAATAGTCAGTGAAGCAGGCCACATGCATTGTGGTTTGTTGGCAGTTGTCTTAATGCAGTATGTGAGCCAAATCACTGCCAGAGGCAGAGGGAGCTGCAGCCAAGATCTTCCTAGCTGGTTTGTTTCTGGTTTGTAATTTCAGGGCTATGATTTCCCAGAGGGATGGTTGAATTGCTTTTAAGTTAACAGCGAAAACATTCACTTCATGAAGGGCAATTTAAAAAGGTGGGTTTTTATTTCCTCATAGAAAACTAATAAGTGATAGCAGTTAGTCTTAATCCGCTTAAGATAATTAATAATTGATAGCAGTTAGTCTTAATCCAGCAGATAATCAGATGCAGGAATTCCTGACTCATGCAGCTAACTGTCAGAAGTCGCTTCAAAAGAGTGGGAAAAAATTGCCAGAGGGGCTAATTAGCAGAAATAAAGATAATGTTCTTGGAAATATCCACGTTTTGAGGTTTCCAGCCACATATCTATATACTACTAAAACTCTCATGTCTGTAACCTTTAACTAGGCGAAATGGTGTGTCATAGGGCAACAATTTTTGAACCAAGGTACCTCAACTGGGCTAACTTACAGAATGAGTCCAAATTCCAGGACTCCTGTGGGATTGAAATTTGGGAAATTTGTGGCTGCTTCAGCACTGCTGCACTGCCACGCCACCATGGTCAGCCCAGGTTGTGTGATTGTCATGGGTGTATCCCTGACCTCTTTCCTACCTCCCTCTGTTCCCTGTGCCCAATTGGCTGGTGACAAGGCCCAACGGGTGAGCAGCAATTGGCTGCTTTGGAACCGAGGCCGAAATTTGAAATCTCTTAATGGTGGTGGGCATTGAGGGAAGGATGAGGGAGTGATTTGGATGCTTGCTGGTGAGGTAGGGCTGGCTGGGAGTCGCTGGTGGTCGACAGGTGAGCCCTCTTCCTCTCTCGAGGGAGGGAGCCCTTGGGGACATGCTGGAATGGGGAACGGGGGTGCAGTTTTCCTCATGGTCTGTTTAATGCAGTGTTGTCCAAACTTGGCCACTTGCTGCCTGGGGAATTCTGGGAGTTGAAGTCCACTCATCTTAAAGTGGCCAAGTTTGGACAACACTGGTTTAATGCCTTCACCAAACTGTAGTTCCCAAGATACTTTGGGAAAGCCACAACCCCCAAAATGGTATGAAAGAGATGATGAATCATAACAGTTGGCACCTAAAAAGTTCTCCGAGTCCACCCCATCTTGACCCAGGAATTTCCCTGTATACATGTTCCCACAAAATACAGGAATATAAGGATTTTGCTAATACTCAAGAGTGTCCACATTTATAGGGCCAATAATCGCATTCTGAATTTGTGAGCAAGTTATATACACTCTAAAAACAGATAGCTGCAAGTGAGTTTGGCCAGGTGCAAAAGACCTGTTGACCAGAAGCTTAACAGAAGAAGTTGCTTTTCAAGAAAGCCTACATGGAAAAGAAACATGACCAGAAGTAAACATGATACTTAGGGCTAGTTCTTTGCTTTACAACATGTGAACAAGTAATACAAGTTGGTTTACAACAAGTGAACAAGTTGGTTTCATTGTATTAATCTAAATTTAATACAATGAAACCAATTGGGCCATATCTGTGGGCTGAACGGCATCACAGGTGTTGCTTTGGGAAGCCAGGGGTACATGTTGACATTTATAAAGCTGTAGGGAATGAGTGGCTGCTTTGAGGGAATTTTGGTTGGAATTTAAAGTTCCTCAGAATTTATATTTGTCTCTCACTTCCATAGGCTCAGCCCCAGGGAGGTTGTGAAAGATGACTGACCATCCTCAGACGCCTACAGATCCTTCTATGGCAAACCCTTCTCCCCATCACTGGGGAGAAACATCCCGTCCTTCCCAAAAGTTAAGCCACTGCTCAGCTGCTAAGTCTGGAAAGGATGTTGCCTGGGAAGATGCGTATGGAAATGAACTGATCTTTGCCTTAGATGATGAGGAAGCTCCAGCTCCAGACTCACCCAACAGCTTTTTCTTTGATGAAGATGTCAGCAAAGAGCCTACCTTCCGTGTGTCATCCCGTCCTCTATTTCCTCTTGAATCAGATTTCCCCATTTCCCACTCCCCATCTCCAACTCACCCAGCATCTCAGAAACCAACTGGTTTGGAAAACCCACACAGCCCCAAACCCTTAATCAACTTGGTGAAATCCTTCTCAACTGAAATTGAGCCCCGGGAAGGCCCGTCTCTCAAACCCCAGCCTTTATTGAGCTTGGTCAAATCCATTTCCACTGAAATTTCCTGCTTGGAGCCTGAGGTGACACTGTCCAAATCAGACTCCAAGCTCAACATCCATCTATGGCGACAAATCACCCAGCCCAAGAACAAAAATGGCAATTCAAGGACTGCTCCATCATCTCCCAACCATTCTCCTTTGGAGAGCAAGGGCAACTTCCTTAAGGCTCAGGAAGCCAAGTTTGAGGGCACCAAAAGGAGGTTTTCGGAAGCCATGCAGGAGCCACTCAGCAGGCTCAGCAAAATAATTGGGGATGAGAATAACACATCCCCCAAGCTCCGATTACCCCTTTCCAGGCACCAACAAGGTCACGATTCCCTTTCTCACCACTTCAAGGGCTCCCCCATCTTGGAGAATAGTATGGAACATCCCATCCATGAGACAGATCAGACTGAGGCCATTTTATCCAGGAGAGTGGAAATGGACGAATCTTTCCCCACAGAGCAGAAGTGGGATTCCTTCTCTTCACACTGCCAGTATGAAGTTGGCCCCTGTGGTGACATCATCCAAGTGGTTGAGACAGCTGAGAAGAAAAGCAAGGGCTCTGGGGAAATGCAGTCCCTCTTATCTCTTGGGGCAGTCCAGCCCCCCAAGTGTTGCAGCCCAGTGCCATGTAAAGTTCTCACCTGGATTGCCATCTTGGCCTACAACTACCTGGTCCTCCCTTTGCCTCCTTACATCTCAGGCCTCTGTCTTGGCTTAGCCTGTGGGTTCCTTCTTGGTCTCCTGGTTATTTTGCTGCTGGTGCCAAAGCATGCCTTATCCCCACAGAAAAGGCCCCCTCCCGAGGGCGTGCTGCCCTTGCAAGTGATACTTCAGCAGCCATGGGAGCCCCATGTGCTCAAGGTAGGTGGTCATTGGTGCTCCTTTGGAATCAGTTGGAGAAAGTGCAGAGGACTTGGCTAGCTTCTGAACTCACTCCTTAGTTTCTTTAGAAAACAGACTCTTTCTAATTATACAGGTGAAGGGATACAGTGATGGAAGGCTGAGCTTCTTCAAGAAAGCTCAGGTACACCTCGCTTAATGACTGCCCTGTTTGGCAACCTGTCAAAGTTACGATGGTGCTGAAAAGTAATTTTACAACCAGTCCTCACATTTATGACCATCACAGTGACCCATGGTCGCATGATCGCCATTTGCACACTTCAAAACCAGCTTCCAACAAGCAGAGTCAATGGAGAAGCCAGCAATAAAATCGCAAGTCACGGTCACATGATATATCACTTAGTGACCATGTCATTTAGTGACAGAGTTGCCAGTCCCAGTTGTGGTCACAAAGTGAGGACTACCTGTATAGCCCATTTGACACACAGTAGTGTCCCTTGGGAAAACAGCCTTTCCCATGGTCCCTTGAAGTCCAGCATGCCAATACTCCATCCACAACCTTCCTCAACACTGGGGGGGCCTTGAAATGTTTCATGGAAATAAATTATTTCTAATTATTCCGCTCTAAGATGAAAAGTGAAAAAAATAAGAATAATGTTGCTATTTTTAAAATGTAGGACATTTAGTTCTAATAGTGCTAGAGATTGGAGCAAGCTTGGATGAGGGTTCCCTTGGAAAAATTCTGACAACAAGCCATAATTTTGGATTTATGCATAGGATACCAATAAATGCTTGTTTTTGTTTTTTAAGTTAAAAACCATTTTACTATTATTTGATAACCCTCTGTAAGACTTTGCTCCATGGTCAGCAGAGATCCTTCGGTGGGGGAAAGCTGAATTCCCTTAGTCAAAGAGCAAATAATCTGTTTGATGCAACTGACACGGCGTCTCTTGGGAGAATTGCATTTCCCATGGATGGCCATGCATGCAATCGCTGTGGCTACAGCCTTCCTCAGCAAGTTGGTGCCTTTGACATGTACTTGGAGATGTTTAGGCTAATCGTTGGCAGGACACCCAACCTGGGCTGGCTTGGAATAATGGGAGTTGTAGTACAACCTAACCCAAGGCAGGACACCCAACCTGGGCTGGCTTGGAATAACGGGAGTTGTAGTACAACCTAACCCAACTGGGTTGGTGGACCCTGCTCCCAATATGCCAGGGCTATAGGGAGGCAGAAGAAATGGGGGAGAGGAAATACCCCCCACTTTACTGCAGCTTCTGCCTTTGGTCTGTTGATTTATATGGCTCTTCATTCACAAAAGCAGCTCTGGGCGGGTTGGATAGAAGTATAAAGCATTAACTAAAACCAAACCACAATGAACATCCAGAACCAAAGCTAGACCAATAGGATAACAAAATGGAATAATTAAGGCCAAACCATTCCACAGTCCGCTGGAAAACCTCATTCTGGATGGGTTCAGCTTGCCTTCTGACCTAGTACCTGGTGGGAAGAACTTCTCTTTCATGGCCTTACAGAAGGCCATCAAGGTTGGGGCCATCCAATGTTTTTGTGTGCATCAATATATAATTTTTCAATAAATGGGAAGGAAATAGAAGGCCTGTTTTGAAATGGGGGAGAGATTTTTTTCCCCAAGCTCTGAGACTGACCATTAAAAACTACCCAAGTGGTTGCAATAATTTGAGGATGCGTTCGTTAAGTCCCAAAGAAGACATCAGATTGGGCACTGTGGGGTAGCTAAGATAGATGCAAAGGGATGGAGAAACAATGGTGAAGTGGAAGTCAGGACATTCATGCAGGCAGGTCATCTTCAAATGAAACTTAGAAAGCAGACTCTCTTTCATCAAATTGGTAGGAAAAAATTTCTCTGCATGGCACTATTTTTTTTTCATACAAAACTGGCTTTAATCTAGAGGTAGGTAACCATGTGGTGGCTGTGTGTGTGCGTGTAATGTATGTATACATATACATACACACACACACACACACACACAGAGTGTTCTTCCATCGGTATGGCAGGAATATACATCCCAGACTTCTGTAGTTGTCAGAAAGAGGACAGAGAATGGAGAAAAGAGCTTTGAGGTGTTTTTCAGGATCTGGAATTTCAGGCTGGCCACCTCTGTACCTTCAGATACACATTTATGTGGATGTGAGAGCTGTTTCCTTTATTCCAGCAAATGCAATTCAATAAATAAGATAAAACATAGAATAGTAACAGATACATTTTAACCCTCTTTTTGGACATTCCCAGACTAAACCGGGCTCTTCTTCTTTCCAGGGTTGGATGAACGAAATGCATCCCTATGACCCTGAGATTTATCATCCTTCTCTTACCCATTCCGTATTTGTGACCTTAGAAAGCTCTACCTTGACATTGTCTTATCCCCAAACCAGCATCCCTCGGCGAGCCACCTTTGAGGAAGAGAACTTTGAGGTGGCTTTTGTGAACCACCGACTTTATGATATGAGTGGAGCCAAGGTAAGATTTATGAACAGCTTGTCTGATGTGTCAAGAAACATCACACATTATCTTTTAATGTAGGGTCACACACAGTTTACTTATCAGTTGAACAAGGCAGAGGCTAATGTGCATGAAAATGTTGCTTAATTACAGATGTAAGAATCATACTAGTTTTTTGAACATTCCCAGACTAAACCGGGCTCTTCTTCTTGCCAGGGTTGGATGAACAAAATGCATTCCTGTGACCCTGAGATTTATCATCCTTCCCTTACCCATTTCCAACGACTGTTGGGGGGTCAAAATAGTCAAGATGATGGCCATGAGTGCATGATCACATCCTCCCCCCCCCCTTCCTCCTTTCCTTCAACTCTTTAAAGTAAAGAAAGGGTAGTGCAATAGAATAATTTTAGAAAATGGATTTTCTTTTTTTTACATATCACCTCCTC